TGGTACATCCGTTAGCATAGCAGTACAGTAAACAATAGGTCTTAAGAGACCGAACAGTCAATGATGGCCATCATAACAGTAAACAGAAGTTCCAAGATAGGAACTGACAGAGATCTCTGTAACAATAGCAGTAACAATAAACAGTAGTTGCTATGGATGCCACAATACAGTTCAGAATAGAGGACATACATTCATTCAGTTAACAGTAACAGTTCAGAAAGCAGTTCAGTTAACAGTCAGAAAATATTCATCTTTGAACATATCTTTACACAGTTGTTACTACTCTCGCTCGAGCCAAGAAGTTCTCGATCGAGCGAAGAAAAATCCAGACCGCTCGAGCCAAGAAAAGCTCGCTCGAGCCAAGAAAGACAGCTCTCAGGTCCAGAACCAGGTGCAACCGCTCGCTCGAGCGAGCCACTCTGGCTCGACCCACCATACTCGAACCCCACTCTCGCTCGAGCGACCAACTCCTCGCTCGAGCGAAGGTCCAAAATTCTGGGCAGCAACACTAGGCTCCCGAACACAACCAACCTGTAACAAATCTGCCCAACACATCCTATAACTCAAATATGAAGAAAAAGGAATGTAAACACGATAATAATCAATTACCAACATCCACGGACACATGTCCGGATCACTGTACAACAAGGGTAAACCCGGGATCGCTATAATAACAGTAAACAGAAGTTCCAAGATAGGAACTGACAGAGATCTCTGTAACAATAGCAGTAACAATAAACAGTAGTTGCTATGGATGCCACAATACAGTTCAGAATAGAGGACATACATTCATTCAGTTAACAGTAACAGTTCAGAAAGCAGTTCAGTTAACAATCAGAAAATATTCATCTTTGAACATATCTTTACACAGTTGTTACTCACAGAGTTCTGGACTACAGTTAAACTAGAGCGCGTCTCCAGTCGCCAACCCTACACAGTTTACAGGACGAACACACACTAAGCTACACAGTTGGGAAAGATAATAACTTAATCCCTAATTTGCCTCGGTGTGTTCTACATCTATATCCTCATTAAGATGCCTTAAACTAGGCCTAAGAATGCCTAGGATGAAATGAGGATGCAAAGATGCACTTTAGAACATTTTTCAGAAAACAGAGGTCCGCTCGAGCGTAGGTTTCCCCGCTCGAGCGTACATGCAGACAAAGGTATCCGCTCGAGCGTATATTTTCGCACTCGAGCGTTTTACAAAACAGGGTAAAAGTACTGGATAAGTGAAAATCACGCTCGATGGGCGCTCAATAGCCGCTCGAGCATAATACACAAGGTCCCGCTCGAGCGTCAATTATTCCACTCGAGCGGACGTCAAAACAGTGCAAAGTACTGGGAGCACGAATTTCCCGCTCGAGCGGGAGTTCAAAATCTGGAATTTCCAGATTTGAACTTCCAAGCTCAAAACCAAGTTCAAATGCACAAATTCCGATCCTCTTGGGCCAATTTTCCAGAAAACATTCCAAAACTCATAATTTAACATGATTCCAAAGCTCAATTGTAAAATCAAAGCCCAAGGGTGTTTCAAACACTCAATTTCAAACCAATTTTCATGAACATGATGAACATGCAAACATGCATGAGTTTAAATCAATTCAAAACTTCAATACATGCTCTAATGAGTCGATTCTTTTCAAAACAAGGTGAAATCATGGACTTAAACATAATTATGAGCATGCATGTAACATTTTGCCATGAAAACAACTTAAAACTCAACAATACAAACATGCATGCAAGATTAGAGCTACAACTCAACATGCTAGAACTAATTCATGACTTAGCTCTTCAATTTGGCAAGAACCATGCAAGAATCAATTTAAAGACACAATTAAGAGGGTAAATTCCCTACCTAGGTCCTCAAATACAAGGTGAGGAAGCTTAATTTGCAACCTATATTCCAATTCTTCAAGCCAATGCACAAAGCCAAGTTGAATTCACTCCAAACCTCTCACTCTCCTCTCTTGATCGGTTATGAACATCAAAAAGGCTGAACAAATGTTTTGTAATGCCTAAGAATGAGCCTCTAAAGTGTCAAATAAGTGGCCCACTAGATGGCACTAAGGTAATTAAGTCAAATTATGTAATTAGCTTATTTTAATCTATTTTAATTATACTAAATCAATTTCAGATAAATATACCATAAAATCACATTAATTCTACTGATCTTAAGACACTAATCAATTTCAGATTCGGCCGCCGATAAGGCATTCAATTAGCAGTTTAAAACATAGAATGTGAACAGATAATCAAACAGGCAACAGATACATAATGCATTTAAACAGATACAGTCAATCAATCAGTTTCAGATTTCAGTCTGTCTGTTCAATATTTTAGTTGATTCAATTACTTATCGTAATCAGTCTCGGTTTAGTAGTAGTCAGTAGTTTATCGGTAAACAGGGGTGAGGGTTATTACATAGCCAAAGGAAACTCAACAAAAATAAAATAAAATAAAATAAAAATTTGAGGCTGAAAAATATTTATGAACTATTTCCTCCACTTACTTACCAACCAAACATGACAGAATTTTTTTGGTAAAAGCTACTGATTTATGGACTAATAAATATTTATACTGATTCAAAAAAGTCTTAACCCAAAATTAAAACAAACAAAAAATAAATATTACACTCACTGTTTAATTCCATTCCGTGTGAAACAAATCCATACTCTCACATTGTTTAATTTCATTTTTAGACTTTATTTGTTTTTAAATTTGACAAAAATAAAACTCAAACAAATATTTTCAAAATAAAAATATATATATTTATGATTCCAAAAATAGAAAATCTTAGAAAGTTTTTTGTAAAAAAAATCTGAGAAAGTTTTTAGAAAATCTTAAAACTCAAATTCAATGATTTAACACAAATCAAACTCTAGCATAGAAACAAAACAAATCTAATTGTTGAGTACAAACAAAACAAATATGAAATCTATATAATATGACCGACACTTTGGCCTTGTTTGGTTTGCTTTTAAGAGAGTAATTTTGGAGAAAAAATTTCAAAATTTTGTTCGGTTTAGTGATTTGGGAAAAAAAATCCAAAATCACTTTTTCTCTCTCCTCTCTCCTTCTCAATCACTTTTTATCTCCCACACATCTACTCAACTACAAAAAAAATATCAAATCATTTGAAACTCCCACACACCAAAACTATTTCCAAAATATATAACCATACAAACCAAAAACAATTTAAACCCTCTACCCAAATTTATTTTTGAAAATTTATCTCTCAAAACTAAACCAAACACACCTTTTGTTTTAGGTCCGGCTGAGCAATCCTTTAATTTTTTTAAAAAAAAAAATTAAAATTAAAATTAAAATTAAAATTAAACAAAGTGATGATGATAATACGGATTAATTAAAAAAAAACACAAATCAAACTCTAGCATAGAAACAAAACAAATCTGAAATCTATATAAACAAATTCGACATTCTGTTTTTCTTTTTGTGAGTGAAGCAAGAAGAAAACAAAAAGAATTCTATAAATCTTTCGATTGGTGGAAATGACTCGGCATGGTCCAGCTTTAATTTGCATGTTTGAGTGAAACAAAAAGAAAGAAAAAAAGCTCTGAAGCTTTCATTTGGTTCAGTTTCTGTTCTGAAAGAACATGAAATAAAAATAAGCCCCAAATTCAACCTAAAGACTCCAATAAATCCAATAAATTTTTTTCGATCATATCATATTTAACATAGATAGAAAACCCCAATAAACCCAATAGAAAACCCGCAAAAGATCAAGGAGCGAGAAAACCCAATAGAAAACCCCAACCTAGAAAAGAGAGTAAACTCACGCCATGAAGCTTTACAAGAGGAGAGAAACTTCGTAAAGGAAAACATACACATAAATCCTTTATAAATCAAAATACACATAACCCCTGTAAAGGAAAAAATCAAGTGAAACTTCTACGAGGAGAGAAACCCACAAAAATATCACTTGCAAATTTGTAAGTTGTAGTTTACCTCTGAATGGTTGCGATGTCGTCGCAAGAGGAGAGAAGCAAAATAGGAGGGCAAGAGAAGAGAGTCAATGGTTAGTGGTCAGTGGTCAGAGAAGAGAGGATAGCAAAAGGAGAGGAGAGGTGGTCAATATTCGGTGAGTGGTGGTGTTGTCGCGAGAGAAGAAAGAGAGAGAGGAGAACGTATAAAAGAGAAGGGATTTCTCTGAAATGAGAAAAATAGAGGATTTTGGCAGAGATGAAAGAGGAGAGAGAAAGAGCAAAGGGCTAAATCTGGACCATCCAGAGTGAATAACAATATTGATCTCAACCATTGAAATGTCCTTGTAAGACAAATGAGAGTAAGACATTTTCAGCCCTTGGATTGAAATAATCTAATGATCCTCATTTCGACACGTAGACATTTTTAGCCTTGAATTCAAAAATAGCCTTCCATTGTTGTATAGATTTTTCTACTTTTTTAATCAAAAAGTACACTTATATAACACATTCCAAACAACCTAAGGCTGATCTGCTTGTATTCTCTCTTCTCTCTCGATTTGTCTGTTGGAAATTAACAAATCTACGTTAAATTTTCATCTACGATTCACCCCATGAAATTGAGACTTAGATCTTCTGAAACCAAAGAAACCCTAAAAATCAAAGTACCCACACCATGCTCGATTCAACACCTCAAAGAAATTGTCACTCAGAGACTCACTTCTTCATCTTCTTCTGCGCCAATTTCTATATCGCAAGGATGAGCTTCTTGGTTCTTCGCCTCAGGACTCTTTCTAATCTCTAGGTATTACCTCAAGTGATCTCATCTTCTTCACTCTCGATCCTAATTGTTTTTCCTCTGAAACCTTAATTGTCCAATCTAATAGTTCACAATCTCAGAATTCATAAAAAACCCTAACCCTAGAATCCAGTTCTCAGAAAGAACGAAATTTGGATACCCAGAAGGAAAAAACCTTAGATTCTGAATCTGTGACGAATGAAACTCGAGAATTAGATACCCAAAAAGAACAAAAAATGCTAGGTTTAGATACCCAGATGGATGATGGTGGTGATGAGTCTATGGTAAATATGGGAAAGTCATTTTCTATGCCTGGTTTTTTAAGGAAAGTGTTCTAAAAGGAGGTGGGTGAAGGGGATCGTGGTAATCACAAGCTGCTGGTGATTGTTGTCCATGCTATTATGATAGATTCTGGCTTTGTTAGGTTTGACTCCGTTTCGAGGAGAAGGGTTGAAGGGTTTTATTTTCCAGATGAATGGCCTTCATTGCAATTCATTATTTCTTTGCCATACACTCTTCTTGAGATCATTAAGCAGGGTCTTATTACAATTAATGGGATTGAAACAGTGAAATTGAAGTTTCAGAGTTTGGGAAAGTTTGTTAATGTGTATGGATCTTTAGCTAAGAATGATTTTGGGCTGTATGGGGTGTGCTTAGGTGAGGAGCATTTGGTTTTCTTCTTGAACCTTATATGGGCGAATTGTGATTCAATTGGTGAGATGAATGGAAAAGAAAGCTTCTCTAATTCACATGCTGCGAGGGAAGTTTTTGAATTTTTGAAGATTGTAAAGGATAAGCCTACATTGCCCCTCTTAATAGATTTATGTGAGAGGGCTGGTTTGGCTCCTCCACCGTGCTTTATGCGCCTTCCAACCGACTTGAAACTTAAGATTTTGGAGTCTCTTCGTGGTGTTGATGTTGCTAATGTGGGATCTGTTTGTTCTGAATTTTGCTATTTGTCATCTAATGATGATTTATAGAAACGTAAGTTTGTGGAGCAGTTTGGCAACGCGGAGGGATCTCAGGGAGAGAGCCATTGGAAAGAAAAGTATGCAAAATATTGGAAGACTAGAAAGAGAAAGAAAGCTAGGTTGGAAAGAATCTGTGTGAGAGTAGAGCCTTGGTGGCCTGGTGTCATGATTCGAATCCACCCCTATGGATTAAGCTCATAATCGACCAGCAATCATGAGATTACCTATGGCCTCAAACAAAATTAGACATATAATAGGGGCCAAACGGAAGCAGACTTAAAAATTTTGTCTAACAAGTTGTTCTTACATGGTAAAACAAACATTCCATAATAACTCACACGTATAGACAAAATTAACATTTCATGTGTCTAGGACCTTTCAAACATAACAAAAAGCTTATATACATTGTGATCCAACATATTCACCAAAATAACAAAAGGGAAATCAAAAGTAAAAGAAACAAAACAAAGTCTTATGCATGATTCGGGATGATTACACAAAAACTTGACTCCTCTCATGTCTTTCACTGGGGCTGGGTTTGGATATCTTTTTGCTCACCTACATACACATAAATGGGAGTGAGCGATAACCCAGTGAATAATATTAAAATAAAGAATGAAATTTGTAGCAGTCATATCAAATGGCCTTAGGCCCATTCATGAGTTTATCTAATACATCAAACGGCCTTAGGCCCAAACTTATCAAATGCCCTCAGGCCCAATTCATTCTTATCAAGCGACCTCAGGCCCAATTTGTTCGTGTCAAACGGCCTTTGGCCTATTTGTTTACGTCAAATGGCCCATGGCCCAATAATTTATGTCAAACAACCTTTGGCCTAATTGTTCATGTCAAACGACCTTCGGCCCAATCGCTCATGTCAAACGGCCTTAGGTCCAATCATTCATGTCAAACGGCCTTAGGCCCAATCATTCATGTCAAATAGCCTTAGGCCCAATTCGTTTATGTCAAATGGTCTTTGGCCCAATTCTTTTTCATATTCGTATTTATGTGTGTCACATATTCATGATCATAATCATATTCGTATTTAATTAGTCTTATGCAAAAGACTGATTTATCCACAATTCAGAATACAAATCCATAAGGCACATACAGAAGTAACGCTTGGAAAATAACATACTTGAACATATCTTTAATAAGATATTACTCACAGTGATCTGGCAGATAATTTGCCCATGTGCTTGACCCTACATACATCATAAACATAATGGGTCACAAGTGATTCGATTCGTTCTTAATTTGTATATTCCTCTTAGGTCTCTTTCTTATCGTCTTAGTCCATTTACAATGCTCAATGTATAGTTAAGAGTGCTTAGAAATGAAAGAGAACGGAAAACAAATCACAAAACCATTTTTCAAAATTTCTGAAACAAGGTTCTCTGCTCGAGCGCAGCTTTGGCCACTCGAGCGGACCCCTTTGATTTGTAAAAGTACTGGTTGTGTCAGGACCCAAACTTGCTCCTATAGGTTTAGCATCATGACCAGCCAGTAATCATAAATTACCTACGGCCTTTTGTACAAATGAACCTCTTAATATAAAGTATAGGGCTTAGCGGAAATTTGAAACAACATAGAAATTATCCATTGAGCTGTGAATGTATGAGGAGAACTAATATAATAAGCAAAGTTTCGATTTAAAAGTACATTTATCACAATTATACAAAATTCATGTCTTGCAAATTTACAACCCCAACTATAAACAAATACAAAACCATTGAAATACACAAAAAGGGGTTCAACTAGCATAGCTCCTCCTGAGCCTGATCAATTCATTTAGAAGCTCCTCAAAAGGGCTGACCCGTGTAGACTCAAGGCTTTCTAACTTTGATGTTCAGCTTGCCTACCTAAATATATATATATAAACAAATAGTGAGCTAGAGCCCAGTGAGTAATAACAGAATAAAGAGGTTATGTGAATGAAGTTCGATAACATGCTTGTCAAGATTCTTGTTTCAAATCTTCATATCCAATAAATTTCATAATCGATGTCATTCAATATCAAATATGTGGTACACCCATGAACAATAACATTCCAATCATAGTGGAGCAAAACCAATGGACCAAGAAGGGTCAAGCCAATAGACCACGAAGGGCCAAACCAATGGACCACGAAGGGCCAACACTAGAGATCTCTGTGTAATCCAATAGTCATGGTATTGTTACCCCCCACGCAAGGACCTACATCCAATGGTCGTGGTATTGTTACCCCCAAGCAAGGGCCTACAACCAATAGTCGTGGTATTGTTACCCCCAGGCATGGGCTTATGTTCTATGGATGCCACAAATACATTTCAAAAATGAACTTCATTCATCATTACAAAATAACTTTTCGATAAACCATCCAATCAGTCACATATTGATTCCAAAGCAATAACAATTTCGAAAATAATATTACTTGAACATATCTTTATAAAGTTACTACTCACAGTGGTTTGAGTTGTCACTAAGCCTCGGGCGTCCACCTAAACAAAACACATAACAGAAGCACAATTGAAACATCAATTCATTTTAATTCAATTCTACTCATGTGTTTCTAACTCATTCTATGATTATATGAGTTCAAATGGTGCCTAAGAATACTTGGAGTCGCATGAGGATACAAATATGCACTTAAAAGAGTTAGTGAATTTTTGTTGAAAATACGGTCTCCGCTCGAGCGCAACTTTCTTCGCTCGAGCGGGGTTTCACATACAAAGGTGGTCGTTCGAGCGTAACTCCTATCGCTCGAGCGGTCTACAAAAGTACTGGTTACATAAAATTCCTGCTCGACGGTTGCTCGAGCGAAAGACTGAGAAAAAGGGTCCTTGCTTGAGCGCCACTTTGGTCGCTCGAGCAGCCTGTAAAATTTTATAAATCTTATGGGAGCTCGCTTTTCACACTCGAGCGAGGCTTTTCTCGCTCGAGCAGACAACACGAATTCTGGAATTTCCAGAACTGTGTTTGAGCTTCAAGGTTGATATTCAAAGTCTCAAAATTTGTGTTTTTGGTACAAAAACTTGGAAAATCATTATGTAACATGAAAATACTTCCAATTTGAAACCGTTTGATCGAAATCATGCTTCAATTGTCCAAGTTCAAGCTTAAATTTTCAAGTTGAAGCCATGCATGTTATGGATTGAGCCTCATTCATGTTAAAACACCACTAAGTGATATGAAATGCATGAATTCATGGATGATCTTTAAGCTCATGCCTCCTAAGCTTCATACATGTATGAATTTCAAGAAATCTTAGCTCAAAAATGAAAGATTACGCATGCATGTGCATAATTCAACTCAAATTCATCATATCCATGGTAATTCATGCTCAATCTACTCAAATTCAAACAAATGATCCCCTAACTCCAGAACTTAGTTTCTACATGACTTAATTCCAAGAATTGGCTTGAGTTTTAAACCTAATGTGTGAGTTCAAGTGTTGGACTAGCTCAATTCACCAAAACTCTAGCAATTCACTTCAATCTCCTCTTTTTCTCTCTAATGTTGAACTCTCCTTCCTTCTCTCACAATTCTCAGCCAAGTGTGTGTATATATGAGCTCATAAGCTTATTTAGAGCTATTTATATGGTGTGATTAAGTTAGCCTAATCACATATGATTAAGGTTAACTAGTTAGGCTTAATTCTAGTTAATTCAATCAGTTTGTTCCAATTATTTTGATCCAAATAAATTTTTAATTAAAGTTACCATAAAATTCTAAATATTCTAATTAGCCTATTGGGCTAGTCAATTTCAGTTTCTGAAGTCATCTAAGTTCTCAATTTATGTATCTAAGTTGTCAATTTGAATAAATATTCCATGTAATGACAGATAATCACAAAATTAAGCATGTATTCACATAAATAAACACACAATCATACAATTAGACTTAGTAAAATATCATTATACACTAGTTCGAAGGTCAGGGTCATCACAATCTCTCCCCCTTAGAAAGTTTGGTCCTCCAAACTTAGGTTACCTTCTAATGGAAATAAATGCGGATACCGCTGCCGCATCTCTTTTTCTCTCTCCCAAGTAGCCTCATCCCATAATGTTCTTTCCATTCAACTTTCACCATAGGGATTGTTTTATTCCTTAATTGCTTCACTTGCTGATCAATGATTTGCATGGGCTATTCTTCATACATCATATTATCATCTAAGGCAGTCCGATGGGTGATCAATCACATAGAATAGATCTCTAAGATGCCCACGAAACATAGATACATGGAAAAACATTATGCACTTGTTTCATTCTCGGTGGCAAAGTAATACGGTAAGCAACAGGACCCAACCTTTCGAGTATCTAAAATGTTCCAATATAGCGAGGATTCAGTTTTTCCTTTTTTCCAAATCTCATATGCCCCTTCATTGGTGTCACCTTAATGAATACATGATCTCCTGCATCATATTCTAAGTCCCTTCTTCGCTGATCCGTATAACTTTTCTGTCGGTTCTGTGCAATTTTGAGCCTTTGCTGAATGATTTTAATCTTTTCGGTCGTCTTTTGCACAAGTTCAGTACCATAAATAGCCCTATCACCAACCTCTATCTAACAAACTGGCGATTTACATTTCCTACCATATAGTGCCTTATGTGGCGCCATGCCAATACTAGTGTGGTAACTATTATTATAAGCATACTCAGCCAATGGCAAATAAGTTTCCTAGTTGCCCTGAAAATCCAAAACACACATACAAAGCATGTCTTCTAAGGTTTGAATAGTTCTTTCGGTTTGCCCATCGGTCTGTGGATAAAATATTGTACTAAACTTCAATCCTGTTCCCATTGCATCTTGCAGACTATGCCAAAATCTAGAAACAAATTTAGGATCCCTATCTGATACAATAGACACTGGAACCCCATGCAATCGAATAATTTCATCAATGTAAATGGTAGCAAGTCTATATGCAGTAAATGAAGTCTTTACAGCAAGAAAATAAGCAGACTTAGTCAATCTATCAACTATAACCCAAATAGAGTCCGTACCTCTAGGTGTCCGAGGTAGGCCAACAAC